AAGACACATCAAAGTACACATGAAGATTGGTTGTTGTTTTGGTCTTGTAAGCATCTGAAAACCCCTGAAGAAAGACCCCAGACTCAGATAGTATGCAAAGACAAAGACAAAGAGCGTTTATTCTTCAGAAACATCCAGCATGCAGGGGTTAACCATTCTCTAAAATGGCAACCACAGACACAAGCACACAGGCCTTCTTATAGGGAAGAACATTTTGTTTGGGAACTGTCTTGAATTACTAGGTAATCTAAAATCTCGTTGGTGGGTGATAGGGGCTCACAGATGGTCACTGGTCTGCATTCTTTTGTCATGTGATGAAATAGGGCTCTCCAGTGCAGATGACCTATTCTGAGATAAGATAGTTCTCCATTTTTGTGGTTGTCCTCAGGCTGTTCTTTGGGAGGGAGATTTATGATCTTCTTCTGCATTTTATGGTCTATCCCTGGAGCTTATGTTTTATGGCCTAGTTTCTGGGACTTAGGGTCTGTTCCTGGAGCTGTTGCCTTATGGCCTTTTTTCAAAATCAGGCCTGGTCCTTAAATGGAGATAAACAGGGTTCTTAAATGGAAACAAATGGGACTTATATTGTCCTTACATTATGCTCTCATTTTGTAGCTCAGGCTGGCCCAGATTTTACTAGCCTTGAATTTGCAACAATCCTCTGCCTCCATCTTCTAGGCAACAGGATGATAGGCATGAGCCATCATGCCTCACTTATACTGGTTGTTTTGTTTATTCATTTCATTTACTTTACATTTACTGAACACCCAATAAGTGTTGATACCTTGAGCATGAAGATTGAGAGATACAGAATTTTTTGAAGCACAAAGTTTTGAAAAGGTCATAAATAAACTTAATCCAAGAGAATAATGGCATTGATAACTGGTTTACTCAAAAGTTTAGCAGATAATCATTGAGCATGTACAGTGTGTCAGGTCTGAGAGCCTTGTGGGACAGGGGGGAAGGCTATAGACACAACCTTGACTGGACTATCGCAATTAGTCTGAGATCATCCCGTGTTATAGGGGAAATTGAAAGGATGCTCAGGATTTAATGAGAGATAAGAATATCCCCATGATCAACCAGATCAGCCAAGTTGACCTTGTGGCTGCTAGGATGAAACATCACAGACAGCCTGATCTCCAGTGCCAGGTACAGTGGTAGATGACACAAACAGACTTTACTCTGGGTCAATTCACACACATACTTTGTGTCTGGAGAAGAAAGACACAAACTACAGCAGTGGTAGAAAAGTCTGATGTTTGCTAGGAGAAGGAAAAACAACAACAACCACATGGGCTGGTCAGTGTCTGTCTTAGGGTTTTACTCCTGTGAACAGACACCGTGACCACAACAGGCAACTCTTATAAAGACAACGTTTAATTGGGGCTGGCTTACAGATTCAGAGATTCAGTCCATTATCATCAAGGCAGAAACATGACAGCATCCAGGCAGGCATGGTGCAGGAGCTGAGAGTTCTACATATTCTTTTTTGTTTGTTTGTTTGTTTGTTTTTGTTTTTTTTCGAGACAGGGTTTCTCTGTGTAGCCCTGGCTGTCCTGGAACTCACTCTGTAGACCAGGCTAGCCTCGAACTCTTGAACTCAGAAATCCGCCTGCCTCTGCCTCCCAAGTGCTGGGATTAAAGGCGTGCGCCACCACTGCCCGGCTGAGTTCTACATATTCATCTGAAGGCTGCTAGCAGAATACCGACTTCCAGGCAGCTAGGATGAGGATCTTAAAGCCCATACCCATAGCGCCACACCTACTCCAACAAGACCACACCCACTCCACACAGGGCCACACCTTCAAATAGTGCCACTCCCTGGGCTGAGTGTTCATGTGTGTACATGAGGGATGGGGTGGTCAGTATTCTCATGGGGACATGTGAATCCACCAAGTCTTTCCTGCAGTTCCCTCTTCTCCCCACCTTCTATCCTAATCATCACCGCTTAGTGGTATGAAGAATCCAATCACAATGTGGATAGTCATACATGGGAGACAAAGAAACCAAAAATGTATGAATGACTCATTATGTAATATTTGGGGTTCTAGCCTTTGGGAAAGGATATGCAGGAAGCCTATAAGCTGACACAAGATACTATTTCCTGGTGAAAGAAGCCTGGGGACCTGTCTCACGAACTAGAAAACCTGCGGCATTTCTGGGGGCTTGTATCAGAACTAAGATATTCATTAAATAATTAAAATTAAATAACGCATTTTAAATGAGACATTTAAACAAATTACAAGATAAATTAGAAATATAATTCAATCAATTAATGGTAATGATACCAAGAAACTAAAACACAATGATTTATTCAATTATTTACACATAGGAAAAAGAACAAACAGTAATATAGCATTGATTGTGAAACAAAGTCTATAATAAATATGATTCTCTTCTGAAATAAACACAGGATTAACTGAATTCAGAGAGGGATAAATAAGTCTTCCTTAGATGCTTTTCTCTCCTGTAAATGGAATTAATTTCACTTTTACTGTATCTCTGGCTATCACTTCTGAATTTGCTCACACACAACCCCAACCCCAAGCCTATCCCCAACAATACCAGCTCCAACCCAACACCTACTGTAACCTGAGCCCCTACACCAACAGCAACTGCACCTCAAACACAAACCTCAATCCCAACTATGACCCAAACCTTGACTTGAACAATGACATGAACCCAACCTAATCTCAACCAACCCAAACCCAACCCAACCACAACCACAACCACAACCATAACCCAACACTGACCAGATCTCCACCTTCATATCAACCCATATACAATGCCCATCCTCAACCCAATCCACTTCCACTCCAGACCAAACTCAAACCCCATTACCCACCTTAACTCTAAACCCAACCTCACCTTCGATTTCAATTCCAAACCTAACCCCAATCCCAACTGCCCACCCCCACCAGTATACCCATGTCAAATCCAGCGCCAGTATCCATCCTAACCCCAAGCCCAATCCCCAGTTCCCAATCAACTCCATACCCAGCACACCAACCCCAAGCCCTGTCCAAATACAACTCCAATCCTGACCCTAAGCCCAACCTCAACCCTAACCCCAAAACAACTCCAAACCCTAGCTACAACCCCAACTCCAAACCTAAAGTCTTAGTTATGGTTATTATTGCTTCAGTAAAACACCATGACCAAAGGTAACTTGGGGAGGAAAGGCTTTGTTTCACTTACAGTTCCATATAACAGTTCATCAAAACACCACCACCAACAAAACAAGTCTAATTTGTGTTAACCTTATACTCATGGAGCATGGTCAGACTCCCTGTGGCCAGCCTCTTGAAGAAAACTGAGTTCTTCCCCAGCTGCATGCTGCCAGGAGCCATCAATTGTGGAGAGCTGCATCATGTTCACAATGTTTGATGGTTTCCTGTCTAGGCTGTTTTTTTGTTGGGGGTGGGGCACAGGTTGTCACAGAAACCTTCTATGACTCTGTGTTTCTTTTTTTTTTTTAAAGAATTATTTAAGCCGGGCGGTGGTGGCTCATGCCTTTAATCCCAGCACTTGGGAGGCAGAGGCAGGTAGATTTCTGAGTTTGAGAGTTCGAGGCTAGCCTGGTCTACAGAGTGAGTTCCAGGACAGCCAGGGCTACACAGAGAAACCCTGTCTCGAAAAAACAAACCAAAAAAAAAAAAAGAAAGAAAATAATTATTTATTTATTTTATGTATGAGTACACTGTTGCTGTCTTCAGACACACCAGAAGAGGGCATCAGATCCCATTAGAGATGGTCATGAGCCACCATGTGGTTGCTGGGAATTGAACTCAGGACCTGTGGATGAGCAGTCAGGGCTCATCTCTCCAGCCCCCCGACTCTGTGTTTCAACTATGAGTCTGCAGTCATCGATATCACTGCAAAAAGTAGCTTCCTTGTCTTTTACAGTCACCAGCAGCACAGATTATGGAATTCCACATGGTTTCTGGTGATAAGAAGGACAATGTGGATACATGGCCTCCAGCATCAGCATGTGCTATGGACTTCAGCATGGTCACCCAAAGCAGAACAGACCAGAAGCATCCTCATGGCCCTCACAGGCAGGAAAGGCCATGGACACCATCATGGTTTGCAGTTGCAGCACAGTCCACAGATATCAACATGGCTTCATGTGGTAGAACAGACCACCAACATCCTGTATGGCCTTTGGTGGTAACATGGTCATGGACAGTAACATGACCTCAGGCTTGAGTACACCCATGGACCCCAGCATGGCCCTCAGCAACAACATGGACATAGACAGGAACATGGCCTCAGGTGGCTGCATAGGTCACTCACATCAACATGGCCCTCCAGTGACAGCACAGACCACAGACATCAATATTGATTCAGGCACTTAGCCTGCTTTCTAATAGGACTCAGGACAACCAGCCAGAGATGACCTAACCCACAATGGGCTGGGTGCTTCCGTAGTATCACTCATTAATTAAGAAAATGCTCTACAGGCTTGCCTACAGCCCAGTCTTATGGAGGCACTCTTCTTAATTGGGGTTCCCTCCTCTCAGATGACTCTAGCCTGGCTCAAGTTGACATAAACTTAGACAGCATGCCTAGCAACACCAAATAAAAACTTCAATTTTAACTTCAAGCAATCCTCAGCCTCAATCCTACTCCAATATCAAGCACAATTATAACCCTAACCCCAGTGCCATCCACAATCCCTATCTCAACCTCAAATCCAACACCAAGTTTAATACCAATCCCAGTTCCACATTTAAGCCAATACAGTCCCAACTCTAACACCATCTCTGACCCTACTCTAACTCCAACCCCAACCACATATCCCTAAACTCCATCCCACCCATGACCATCTCCATGCCCAAGCATAATTCCAAGAACAACTCAAGCTCATCCCCAAGACCTGCCCCTACCCCATGCCCAATCCCTATCTCAGCCCAGTTTCCAAATGACAACTCCAAACCTAACCCAAATGCCTACCTATATCCTAAACCAAACACCAACCCCAAACCCACCCACCTGCACACTTACCAAAACCACAACCGAAGCACCAAAGCCAACCCTATCCCCAAACCCAATTAGTCACAGTCCCAACCCCAGCCTCAACCCGAATCCAGTCTCAACTTTGCATGTGTGAGTATAGCCAGGTAATGCTCAACAAAGATGCCAAAAACACACAGCAGAGGAAAGACCACATTTTGGACAAATGATGCTGGGAAAACTGGAGTTCCAAGTATAGAAAAATGAAATTGGACATGGATCTATCACCTGGCACAAAAAGTAACTCTAGATGGATCAAAGACCTAAATGTGAAACCCGAGACACTGAAACTGCTAGAAAAAAAATATAGGCAGAACCCTATAGTGTATAGGTCTGAGAATGGACTTTCTGAGGAGGACTCCATTTGCCCAGGGACCCAGGGCCACAACTGACAGACAGAACTCATAACACTAAAAAGCTTCTGCAAAGCCAAAGAGATAAATATTTTATCCGCCCCCCCCCCAAAAGCAATCTACAGATTCAATGCAATCGCCGTCAAAACTACAACACCATTCTTGAGTGGACAATGCTCAATTTCATACAGAAAAGCAATAAATTCAGGATAGATAAAGCCATCCTAAACAACAGAAGAACTGTTGGATGTCCCACCATTACCGATTTCAAGCTGTACTACTTAGCTATAGTAATGAAAACCACATGGTGTTGGCATAAAAACAGACATGTTGATTGATGAGATCAAGTTGAAGACCTAGACATGAATTTATACACACTTGGTTTTTGATAAAGAAGCCAAAAATATACACTGGATAAAAAAACAGCATTATCAACAAATAAATGGTTCTGGTCAAACTAGATGTCTGCATGTAGAAGAATGCAAATAGATCCATACTTAACACTCTGTTCAAGTTCAAGTGGATCAATAATCTCAAAATAAAACCAGATACATAGAACTCGATAGAAGACAAAGTGGGAATAGCCTTGAACACATTGGCAAAGGAGACAACTTTCTGAACAGAACACTGTTAGCAAAGGGACTCAGATCAACAATTAAGTGGGACCTTATGAAACTGCAAAGCTTCTATATGGCAAAGGACACTGTCAGTCAGACAAAGCAGCAGCCTACAGAATGGAAAAAGATTTTCACCAACTTGTATCTGATAGAAGACTAATGTTCAAAATAGATAAAGAACTCAAGAAACTAGATATTGAAATACCAAATCATACAATTTTAAAAATGGGGTACAGATCTAAACAGAGAATTATTATTAGAAGAATCTCGAAGGACTGAGGAATACTTAAAAAATTTTTTGACAGGGGCTGGAGAGATGACTCAGCAGTTAAGAGCACTGACTGCTCTTCAGGGATCTGGGTTTAAATCCTGGCATGCAATGACAGATTGCAGCTCTCTCTAACTCCAGTTCTTGCAGATCCAACACCCCCATATAAACATACATTCAGGCAAAAACACAAAGGCACATGAAATAATAGTAAATAAGTTAAAAAAATGTCCAACATTCTTAGCCATCAGGAAAAAGTAAATCAAAACTACATTGAGATTCCATTTTATATCTGTCAGAATGGCCAAGATCAAAACCACAAGTGATGGCTCATGCTGGCAAGGATGTGGAACAAGGGCAATATTCCTCCATTGCTGGTGGAAGTGGAAACTTTGGAAATCAATGTCAGTTTCTCAGAAAGTTGACAGTTGATCTGCCTCAAGATCTAGCTATACTGCTCTTGGGCATGTACCCAGAGGATGCTACCACAAGGGCACTTGCTCAACCATGTTCATTGCTCCTCTATTCATAACAGTGAGAAACTGGAAACAACCTAGATGATCCTCAAATGAAGAGTGGATAATGAAAATGTGGTGCATTTACACAACGGAGTATTACCCAGCTATGTTTAAAAATGACGTTTGAAGGCCAATGGATGGAACTAGAATTCCAGACTCAGAAAAATAAATATGGTATGTATCTACTCATGTGTGGATATTAGCTGCTGAGTAGATGATAACCAAGCTACAGTCCATAGACCCAGAGAGATTAGGTATAGCTAGAAGGCTGGGGGTTGGGGCACATGGATCTCCCTGGGAGGGGGAAATAGAATAGACCTTTACTGATATTCTGGGGACACGGGAACGATAGAAACCATGATTATATAAATGCTGTCTCAAAAAAAAAAAAACTACACAAGACAAAATACACTTCCATGTGATTGTTTCTAACTGGAAACGCTGCTGCTCTGCTAGACATATGCCCGTTCCAGTTGGCACAGTGAGGAAATGTTCTGCATTGTGGAACCATGTGGATTTAATTATTTTTCTTTGGACCTGACTGCCTCTTGCTGGCCACTCTTCCCCGTCCTTCATTTAGACTCTTATGCTTTGTTTGTAAAAATCCAGCAATGGTTTTAAATTTTATTTTGTGAGTCGGGGGGTGGGGAGTGAGGGTTGTGGGAGCTATGTATGAGATACTGTTTGATTTATTGCTTTTTTAGTGGGTGGCGGGCATGACATATATGTCACAGCATGGACA